TTAAGAGTTTTTGTCAAATGATTTATAATATAGAATATATATTTTTTTATATAATTTAATTTAAGTTTAATAATAAAACAATTTATTTTTGGTTTAATATTATAAATTTTATAAAGATAATAATTAAATATTCTGTTAAAATTTAATGATTATACTAATTATATTTTAGATTTTTTATATTTTAAAAGAGATGTTTATCCTGTATTTGATTGTGTTTATCTGCAGTTAGTTACACGAATTCAGATATTGGATGAAATCGGATAGGGATAAACGGGTTTAAGAGTTTTTAAGAGTTTTAGCCAAATGTTTTATAAGATAGTATAGATAACTTAATTTAAGTTTAATAATTAAATAATTTATTTTTGGTTTAATAATATAACATTTTATAAAGATAATAATTAAGTATTCTGTTAGAATTTAATGATTATACTAATTATATTTTAGATTTTTTATATTTAAAATGAGATGTTTATCCTGTATTTGATTGTGTTTATCTGCAGTTAGTTACACGAATTCAGATATGAGATGAAATCGGATAGAGATGAAATCGGATAGGGATGAACGAGTTTAAGAGTTTTAAGAGTTTTAGCCAAATGTTTTATAAGATAGTATAGATTATAGATATAGATAGATAACCAACAGATAACATAGAAACGGAAAGAGCTACTTGACCATCATCGACGGCCGTATCAGCCACTAATTAGGGATCCACCGGAAAAATCCGCCGTTTGTTTTGTAGTATAAATGAAACTCAAAAGTGTAACAACGATCATAGAAACCTCAAAAATGAATCTTGGTTTCTTTAAATGAATACTAATCCCGAAGAAAAAAAGAACATAAACAACGACAATTTTCTATATGTTAAAACCCCTACAAAAAAACCTACCGCCAAGAACAAGCAGGTTAGCTGAATCCAACTGCCAGTTACTAAGATCATATCAATGGATTTACAAAGTGAAAAAAAAAAAAACAGGAGATCTTTACATATCGTCATCTCGGGCGTCCGCCAATCTCGTTCTTCAGAAGTCTAGTTACCCCGCCAGTTGAATCATTGCTACTCAAAACACTCAACAACGTGTTTAGCTCCTCCAAATTCGCCTTTTTGAAGAAGCCCGAGACAACAGTATCAACCTCGCTAGTCAAACCATTGTTTTCGGGATTGTTTGGATCTTGAATCTTTGACGACGACTTTCCAGCTTGGTCATGGGATTGAGAGTGAAAAGGCCGTGATTCCCAGTACTCTGTGCATAGCCGATGCCTGTCCATCGACTGAATACCCTACAGACGTCAAGAAAAAAGCGAAATCTGGTAAACATAACTTGCTAGAAAGAACAATGAAGCTTTTCTATTTGTTTTAAAACCAAACCGAACGAGCCCAGTATATCCTAGCTGGAGGTGGACCCTCTACCCACTGAATCCTTAAAGGAAACCCCGTAACTTTCATAAAAGCATCAATAAATCATGATGAGACAATGGGAAATAAGTATGATGATGCTAGAATTGGAAGTTTGGGAACATTGTGCAAGTTTACCTGCAAGATGGAAGGCGAAGAAAAACCGAACATTTCCATGCCATCAAGACTCCCAGGAGGCTGCAAAGGAGGAAGATTCGGTATTCCCGACTTATGTTGCTTTGAGATCTCATAATTAACTCTCTCCCTAACCATTTCCCAACATCTTGCAGCCGATAAATGAATAAATACTTCGTTTGGATGCTTCTCCAACGAAACCTGAGACAAGAAAAGCGCAAATTCATCGTCAGAGTTGCAGATTAAATCCATGAGCCAACTGTATCGAAGTTGTTGAGATACAACCTACAAGTAGGATACGATCCCAAGATTCTAATTCTGCGATCAAATTTTAGTTTTGATTGCATTAGGACCAAATCCTATTCAGTATGGTTAGGCATAAAGTAATAAATGATTCTCAATTACCATAAAAAGAGGTCTATTCTTTCCCGCATCAAGAATTTCTGAAACGTAGTAGCACATATCTGTAGGATCTGAAACATTTATGTACTTAACCCGGCTCCGAAAACCTGCAAATGACAATATTTAGAAATGGCATTCTTCAGAGAACAACAATAATTGGTGAAGCTTACAAGTTTTACTGTGTGATATATTATACCTTTAGGGTAAATGGCACGACTATCGCACCATAACTTTCCTGATTGGACCACACCAAATTCCAGAGGCTCAACATGACAGTTTATCCTCCGGACAACTTTCGCAATGCGAGGACCCTTCTGGCGAGGGTTTCTTTCCGGATGGTTTTGGGTGCAAGACTGAGTTCCTGATGCAGTTTGTACATTGTCTGCTGGTTTTGAGTTAGCATATAATCCAATAATTACAACTTTTTCCTCATTGTTAAGTATCCCACCGCCAGATTTTGGTATCGGCTGAGACACCCCACCTGTATTTTCCCCATTTAAGTTACTGGATTCCTTTGTAATTGTAAGAGCTTGTGATTTCGTAGTAGAGGGGACGGTATTTTCCGACAAAACTCTGTGGCAAGAAAGGTTTTCCGGGTGGGACTTGAGGGCATCTTCTTTCACTTGATCTTCACTTCCAATGCGCCCAGAAACTGGATCAGTCGTAACGGCTTGATTAAGTGGCAGGGAAGAGTCCTCACCCTCATCATCACTAAGCAATATAACATCATTTCCAACAACCAAAGGCTTGTTTGCCGAAGACGCAATCTCTTTCTTGCATTTAGAACTAGATTTTTTTGTTTCATCTTCATGTAAAGAATTAAGCGATATTGATGATTCCTTTGAATATCTTGAACCCATCCTACCACCAACCCCAGTTGGGTTCAAGAAATCTTGGACCCTCTCTGTTTTCCCTTTCAGTGAAGCAACAGATGGTACTGAACTCACCTCTTTGGCTGGTGATCCTGAAATGGAGCACGATTGTTTGCCATTGAGCTCTGGGGAGCGTGAGGTGTCTTTAGATACGTAAGAAGTTAGAGCAAGTCCAAGATCAAGTTTTGCCCATCTGTATACGGCACTCAATTTGCCCTCCAATGCTTCAACCAAAATAGATAAATCTTTGATGTCATAGCGGAGAAGAAAAAACTTTGCGCTCCAAGCACAAGAGCAAAACTGTTTTGCGTGATTTAAGCATGAATACTTATCGGGTGAACAATGGTGACAACCTGCAGCTGATAGATGCAAGTCAAAATAGCAAACACTACATTCTCTTTCACTTGTGGCGTCAAACGTTGCCTCCATCTTCAACGCCTGGGAAGTGTTGCAAAGGAAGTCCCTCCTCACACGCTCAATTTCCACACGCGCCTAAGAAGAAAATGACACGTTAAGAATGTCAAGTCATTCAAGGTATGTCCACCAAATTGCACGAGTTTCAAATTAGCTAAAAAGAAGCACAAGATAACATTTTTAGCATAACTCGAAGAAGATCCTGACTTAGATTAGTCTAAAAGATGAACCATAAAAACGGAAGGCATAAGGTTATGCCATTTACGCCTTCATTAAGAAGACTTGACATTAGACCCTTGTGTGAACAGTAGCCTAACGCCTAAAAACTTGTAAGATGTCGTTTTATGCTTCCATGCACAGCTGCACATTCAGTTTCTAAAAACTGATAAAAGTTGGGTGTTAATTTTGTAAAAATTCCATTTCAAATTTGGAAAAAATGTCCTTTTGATATGAAAAGCCAGCCTACATAAATAGCATATATGTATAGTCCATGACGAAAATATTACCTTAAGTGTTTGGGATAGGATCCCATCCTTCCCACAAACATCCTTCCATCTTAAGTTATCAGGTGTGTTCTTTCTGAGTAAATTAAGTTCCCAATGAGCTTTCACTGCATCTCTTGCAGCTCCAAGCAACAGTTTATCATGAGAAATGGAAGTTTTTCGGCCCTGCTCACGATAGAGCTCAATGGCATTATGCCCATGAGGCAACCAGTCAACAGGAGCCACGTTCACAGCCTCTGCACAGTTGAAGCCACAATTGAATCCTGAATGATATGCTCGAGGAAAGGTCAAAATAAACTCTCCTGGATTCTGAATGCAGCGGAAAACAGGAACTCCTTCGGATTTTAGTATGGATGGAGAGAGTTGAGTGACCTGCATTACAGGAAACAAGTTCACTAGAGCTCATAATCTCTGTATATTTTACAGAAAGAACCTCTTTTGTAATTACCAAAGAGCATACAAGATTAAATCTTAGAAAATCTCAGATAATTTGAAAAAGAAAAAAGCAAGGAAAGAAAACTACATCAATGTGATCTCATGGAAGCTGTATTTATTGCCATTTGGGATGTCATCCGAAATTGCAAGATTTTTGTTTTTCAAGAATTTCTAAGTTACAATTACCTATTTGCCACGTCTTATCACAAAAAATTGATAATGTCACACACTGCATAAAGGCAGTGTGGTTGAAGGCACACCAACCAGAAATTTAGAGGTCTAAGCCTTGCAAGAGACAGTGATGTGTGTGTTTCACCATTAAAAAGAACAGTAATTACTATTATTCAAGAATCATAAACTTAAAACATATTTCTCACCAGTTTGTGAAGCAAGTCGGGTTGTTCCGCAAAAAGATCAGGCAAATGCTTTCTCATTGCTGCCTCCAATTTAATAGCATCTTTCCCCGGTATGCCATACCACATCTTTGAAGCACCGAAATGCATGTAATTCATCGAATATAGATGATGGTCTTCAACATGCTGTTTTCAGAAACAAGTCCAGTAGGAAGAGAAAACAAGAAAACAATTAAATCTTATAACATCCAATGGTGCAGAGAAGTGCTAGAGGAAAAAATAGAAAGCAGGATCCACTCACCCAACAAAAAGAAGAAAAACACATTCCAATGTACAACCAAGGGACCAATACACCAGATATATCGCTGCTCTCATAGGAGAGTAGTGAGCCTGGAAGCCTCGGAAAGTTATTCAAGTTCCAACCAGATCTAACGTACTTTTCGTCTGACCCTGACACTTGGCAAGTTTCTTTTGGGAACCCGCTACCAAATGAACCAGTTTCCAAATCAGCACCATAAAGCACCTAAAATGTCGCAAGATAAACCATATCACTTGGAGGAAAAAACATCATGCAACCAGGTTAAAAAGGACAAATTGCATGAAAATGCAACATACCAATTCCTATTTTTGGTAACGTACTTTCAAAACCTTCATTTTGGTACCTCAGATGTAATATCTTATAAATCTAGACCAAAGTATGTTACACAAAATAGGAATGGAACCAAAGTACATAGCATTTTCATGTATTCTCATATGTAAACCAGATACCTAAATGTTTGAGATGACATATGAGGTACCAACATGAAGGCTTTGGAAGTACGTTCCATAAAAGAGGAACTGAACAAAGTACGTGGCATTTTAATGCAGTTTGTAAAAACAGGTTTATTTTACAAATGTATCATAGGCCATTTGCCAATCCAACAGCGTATCATATTTTGGCCAATCTGACAAATATATTCATCTCCTTTCTCTAATTAACAACTCCAATGAAAAATCTGGCAACAAATTGGAATGTCAAATAATGCGTATAAGCATTTTGGCACAGCAGATGCTTATCCAACGCCAGTGTGTTTTTGTAGTCAATTTTGAAACAAATGTTGGCCAAATTGATCAACCGGTCACCATTACTTTCTAAATTGATGAACGGCTAACACTATTCCTGTTTTTTTTGGTAATTAAGCCAAAAATACTATGTTTAGCAAGATACCTCAATTTCTTCGGTAGGCCTCTCTACCATGCGCCAATATTCACCCTCTATATTTTCTAAAGAGGGTTCCCACTGATCTTGGATAACAGAGTTCCCACATGCATCTGTCATCATTTCGTTTTTTCTGAAATACTGGGTCTTGAAATCATCTGCATATTTTTTAAACTCTCCAAGGGTGAACCTTGGACCAGGTTCGAAACCAAAACCAGCTTCAGGAACCATCACATCAGCAGGAGCTGCAATATCCGATCCATAAATCTTTTGATCTATCCCTGCTTTCGTGCATCTTCTCTTCTTCCTTTTCTTATTGCAACCAGGTCTACACATTTTGCTCAACGAATCCCGATTCTGAAGTTTGTCAACCCTCTGGATACGAGTAGCAAATGTCGAATTTTCCCATACAGCACTTTCCTTAAGAGGGCATGGAGGTTTCCATGATGAAGGTGGTACAATACGGCAAATGCCATATGCTTCAGCTTTATCACGTATGCTTGAAATGTACTTAAGAGTATCTTCAAACTCCTGAAAACCAATTACATTCAGTCATGAATCTGACTGTATAAGGGCAGGAACCAAGTCTCTTTAGAAACATCGATATATCAGTTTCTTGACTGTTTAAAAGAATGACTTTATAAGGATAAGAACATCAACTAGAGAGAAAAAATATATACCTCTTCATTTGGATAAAATACAGGAGCCTCAAGAAGATCGGGCCTTCGAGCTTCTTCTGGCCACCATTTTGCAATGACCTGAAAACTTAAATTTTTAGCTTAAGCATAAATGAAAACAGTAATTCAAAGTTCAAACTATAAAATGTATCAAGTTGGAGAACCTTTTGGCAGTTACTACACTTTTCACATCCACGAATAACCCCCTTAGTCATCCGAGCACTTGAAGTTTGATTCTGCATCAGTACCCTCAAGTCAAACAATATTATTCAGACACTATGAATACACCTATTTATTAGAAAACAAAATGTGAAGACCAACCTGCTCAGATTCAGACTCGTCTCCCGAACTGCTATTTAATTGGCTGTAGTTTATCCAAGGTCTACGCCTAATTGACCTCTTTATCTTTTCATCATCACTTTGTTCGAGCCCTGGTTCCTTCTTGGCTGGCTGCAATTCAGAAGCACTCACAGAAACAGAACTAGTAGATGCAACTTTGCTATCCTCAACCCTTTTCAAAGAAAAGGCCGTAAGAGACTCAAACCCTGGTGGAATCGAAGGAATATCCATGCTCTCTTCTTTAACGTGATGCCTGATGAGTTCCGTCCCCATCATGAGAATGCTTCACTGAAACGCTTGTTTAAGATTCTCTGAATAATTTGCCTGCATCACGATCATTATAATAATCACATTATAATTACAAAGACTTGTATATCCAACTAGTTTTCTTATAAGGCGATGAAACTGATATAAAATATAACATTTGATTATACATTTTCTTTCATCATTTGTTGCTTATCCTTGTTTCTTGTAAGTTCAATAAATGTATATTTGTATTCAGTCCTTAATAACTTTAAGAACACAGCTACTCATAAATCAATAGATCATGATTACAATAACATTCAAACACCATCGATTGAACATCGTGCAGAGCAATAATAACAGCGGATCTCATCAATGGTGAATATATGTATGTGTGTGCAACTAAAAACAAACTAAAAGTTCAAAGGACATGAATATTCATTACCCCCAAAAGAGAGTGCAATCTTCTTTAGCCAAATGCAGTTCAGGCCCAGATGTTGAACATAGTTCTAGATTTTCATCATTTCAATGAACCCTAAGAATCCAATACATGACAAGTGATTAAAAAGTGAAATCAAAAAACAATAGTCAATTTAAAGCTTAATCAATTAATAACAAATTAAAACACAACAGATCTGATCTAACCTGCCCTAACCCAGATTCCCAAAATTACCCAGCAAACATCAATCAATCAGTTTGGGGTTACAGAATGATAATCGACAAAACAAAACAAAATCAGTACAGACTCAGAACCCACTTTCAATAAAAACAATACAAGCATGACCTGGTCAAAATCCCTAAAAAACTGCAAGAAAAAATTGGATCAGAAAATAAGGGAAAACCCCCAGAAAAGAAATCACATGAACACAAGATAAGGATTACATATATTCATCAAAAACAGATAAGGATTACATATTTGTATACAAGTAAATACCCAAATTGAAAGCAACCTACAAAAACATATGTATTAACAAAACGGCAAACATAATAAAAATACAAAACCTAACCCTAGATAATATCCCAAACAACACGTCTTCTTGGTTATGAATACCTGTGTAGGATTCATTAGACACAGTTCTGTCTTGTGTGGGATGATGAAATTGTAAGGAAATTTGAGGTGGGTTTGGTTTGGATTTTAATTTTTGAGGCAAAACAGTAAATATTTTTACAAAAAGACTGGTCCAACCAACTTAAAGTTTTGTAGGGAAAGCATTGATTTAATTAGATGTTTAATTACCATTTTATTGTGTTAGCAGGGGAGGACCATGGATTTGTTTCTTGATTCAACAAAAGTCATGGTTGAGCCGAGAAATTGGGGAGAAATTGAATTCAATCTCTTTTTCTAATAAATTCTTTTATTTATCTTTTTTTTTTAGGGTTTATTATTGTTTACCTGTGTCGTGGTTATGAACACGAATTCAGATTGATGATGCGTGAAGGGAATTGGATCTTTCTTGTGACTCCTTGTTTTCTTGAATTGGACGGTCAAGATGGACACACACTCCCGATTGCAATGGTTTTCAAGAATCCCAATCATGTTATGTCCTTCTGCACAACCCACTCGCCTATTTTTATATATCCATACTTACTTCACATTTTTTTTAAAACAAATTAATCTTTTTTCGTTATAAAATATCATGAAATCTGATTCTTTTAAAATATTTTCAACAACTATGTTATAATATTTATCTTCGGGTGTTTTTGCATAAATTTTTAAAATGAAATTACATTCAACTCCAACGATTACTTTATTTTAGCAATTCAATCATTAACTAATATTAATAAAATATTCATTATATTTTGATATAACTAGAAGGGTACCCGCACAATGCAGTGGGATACATCTTGATTTTAATATTTCATTTTATTCTTTATCTTGGTCGATATTATTATATGGTCTTATGTGATTTTGGAAAAGTGATAATGTTTTTATTTTTTTAAAAAAATATAAATTTAAAGTTATCATAAAAATTTGACAAAAATAATACGACATTAATATCATATTAACTATTTAAAATTCCTCACTTATGTGTAATATTCAATTTTTTTATTATAATTTAATTTAGTTTCAATGACGAAGTAACTTATATTTGGTTTAATAATATAATTTTTTTATAAAGATAATAATTAATTATTTTGTTCGAAATTGATAATTATCTTAATTATATTTTATATTTTTTATATTTTAAAATGAAATGTTTATCCTCTATTTGATTATGTTTATTCGCAGTTAGTTACACGAATTCAAACATTGAGCTTTAATAAGTTGTACTTGTACATAATTTACTTGTAATCTTGAATTTTAAGTAATATGCATCAATAAACAGTATTTCATGCATAAAAAATAGTTTTTAAAAGTTTTTGTCAAATAATTTATAACATAGTATAAATACTATTTCTCTTTCTTAAACATTTAATTTTAATGTCTCCTATAATAATTAAATATTATTTATCTCTCTTGAATATAGAGTTTTAGAGATTTCTACTTTTTCTCTCTCTTTTTTTCTCTATTTAAACATATGTTATAGCATAGTTGTTAGAGTAAAAATATACCTTAAATATCTAAAATATCTATTTTAACACATTTGTTAGAGATGTTAGTTTTGTAAAAAGGTATTATAAGAATTTTCATTATCTTTTGATGATTTTAATTAAATCATATGCCAAGTTAAGACTTAGGTGGTATTTCATTCACAAAATGGAATTTGTCAAGTGAATTTTAATGAAATTTAATCATGTTTCGACCATGTTTTTGGTTGGTAAAAATTGGAATGAAATATGTCAAAAGAACTCGAAGTTGTCTGTTTGATTCGTTGAATATAACAGTGATGGTGGGATGGAAGCGGTAGTAGCGTCGATGGTAGCGGTGGTGGGGTGGAGGCGTTAATGGTGTCGATGCTAGTGGTGGTGCGGGCAATGACGATGGTGGCGGAGGCTACAGCGACGACGAGGATGAAGGCAACAGTGGTAACGACAACGGTGATGGTGGTGGCGGCAGCGATGGTGACAATCATATGGGATGGAATAGAATGAAGTAAATATAAGAGTATAATAGTTTTCTAAACAAATGAGATGAAGGAATCGTAGTTCCTATTAGAACCCAAGGAGTTTACATTTCATCATATCTGGGATTTGAATTCCTTGCTAAAACTCAAACAATGAACTAAACGCATTAATTAAATTTGGTCAATTGAGTTGACCTTTCAATTTCTTCAAATTTTATTGGATTCTAACCAACCAAATTTCACATACGTTTTTCCAAAGACAACAACAATGTAAACTAGCAAATGTTTGAAAAATAATAAAGCATGTCAACTTATTTTAATACCTACTTTAAAAAAGTTGAAATTCATGGTAGTTATCATCGTGTAGAAAAAGATTGATAAATGTTTAAGTAGGACTTGGGATAGCTTTTGGCCCTGGCTTATTTGGCGACGTTGAAAACGTAAACTATCTAATGCTTCGTTTATCGTATAATTATACATGATAATTATGCTAATTACATTGTTTTAAGGGCTAAATGCATGAAATAGCAACATATTTTCATAAATTTTCTTATTATAGCATTCTACTTTTGTTTTTCTTTATTACAACAATGTACTTTCAAATTATTTTTTATTAAGGCATTGTACTTTAAAAAATCTACCCATAATAGCAATGGGTAACCTGTTACCTTTTAAACCGATTAACCCTTTGATTTTTTTGCTTGTGTGGCTTTAATGAGGTGATGTAGATGCCACATCATTTTGATGACTAAACTAAAATTAAAATAAAAACCTATTTCAAATTATTATTAGTGATTTTCATTTTTCATTGCTATGATCTAAAAAAACATTTAATTTTTTTTACTTTTTCTTATTAAGTTGCATTCAAATTAAATATTCTTGGAGTAAAATATTTAATAAATAAATATGAAACATTATTTTCGAGATATATTTTGTTTGTAAAAAAAGTAATTTTTCCTATTTTATGTTGTTTAAATAAATACATATATTTTAAAGTTCTCTTTAAAATATTAACAAAATAAATTGTTATCTACAATTTTTTAATATTGTTATATTAATAAATAATTCAAAAAAGTCTAATTAATTTAATATATTTATACGTCAAGTAAAAAGTTTTTGAACAAATATAATATATTCTTTAAAAGATAATATTTTTTGGTAAAAAATGAACAATTCTTATTTTCTTTTTTTCAAAAAATGCATATTTTTTAAAAATGTTAGCGAAGTAAGTTGTGTTCTACTGGTTTTATTGATATTGGTATATTAATGAATAATTTAGAATTTTTTTAATGCATTTAATATATTTATTAAATAACATGTAAAATATCTAAATATTAAAAGTAAAAATACAGTGTTTAATAAGAACTAGTAGATGCTATAATATAATAATTTTGAAAGTACAATGATGTAGTAAGAAAGTCACATCACTATAGTACATGTGGACAGCCTATGTGGACAATGAGGTGTCATGGAAACCTAGTATAATGGGTAAATTTAAATCAAAAGGTTACCCAATGCTATAATGGGTAAAATTTTCAAAGTACAACGTCTTAATAAAAAATAGTTTGAAAGTACATTGCTATAATAAAAAAAACTGAAAGTACAATGCTATAATAAAAAAATTTATGAAAGTAGATTGTTATTTTGTGCATTTTGCCCTTGTTTTAATCAAGTTATGTAACATGAAATATTGATAGTTAAAATGATCACCATTGTGTGTTTTGTCATAAATTAACTGTTTATTTTAGTTGATTTATTAAATTTCTATGAAAAAAACATAATACTCAGTTATGGATATAATTCTCGATGTATTTTCTTAAAAAGTTTTTTTCCGCTAATAAGTGTTTATTAAAGTGCGTAAAAAGTGAAATTTGTTCTAGATTGAGTACGTAGATGATTGTTTTGACGTTCATATAGATTTGTTCAATGGAATTTATCATTCCAATTTTTTGGAATTCTATCTGAATCTTATGAATAAAACGCCCCTTAGGGTTTGGTGTTAATTTTAAATTGATTTGTTTAAATGAGTAATGACAGATTTGGTCCCTGTGGTTATATCAAAATCATGCATTAAGTCCCCCCAAACAAACTAATTACAGATTCATCATTGTGGTTTTAGTTTAGTTTTAGATTGGGTCCCTTATTGTAACGCCGTTAAGTCAAGGGTAATATGACCTCTTTCATCTTCATTTATTAGTTCATATTATATATACATACACTCACACACACACATAAACTACAACTCCATTGTTAAAAAGACTACAACTTCATCGACCCCTCTTCCTCACCATCGACCCACTCCCATTGAGTCGACGAGTCCTCTTCCTCACTGTCGACCAACTCCATCGACCCCTCTTCCTCACCTTCAACCAACTCCATCAACCCTCTTCCTCACCGTCGATCTTCCTCACACTTTTTTATCACAAAATCCTTGATCTTTTGTTTTTGTTTCCATCGATCTTGCTTGTTGATTTAGAGAGAAACTTCACACATGTTCGCTCATAAGGTAAAGAAGTACATTAAAAATCAAAATAAGAGTCACATAATAGAAAATGTAGATCTATATATGGTTCCAGATCAATGATTTCATTTTTAAAGACAGTGATCTTCTTCTTCCTCCCTATCCTCCACACTAATCCGAGGATGTTAGTTGTGGTGATGGGTTTTTGATCGTTCCTTGTGGAACACCCCGATGTCTCGCCAATGCTAACAATGAGAACCAATTTGATCGATGAATAGGTTTCACGAACAAACAAATCAAAGTTGAATTAAATTAGTTTTCGTTGTTGTTTTCGTGTAAGAATGTCGATTTTCATTTCATGGATGGAATGGGGGTCAATGGGAGGGGTGCGGTTGGATTTGGAGACGGTTTTCTTCACATATTTGGTTCAATGGGTTATAGATGTCGAGGGAAAGAAGAAGAGAGAGCGATGGATTTGGACGAAGATGTCTGCCGGAGTAAAGGTTGTTATGAGGGAGATGGAGGACAATGGTGATTTTGGTTTGTATATGTATAGATATGATATTTACAAATAATGTAACAATGTATAACATAATAATTATATAGATATTATATATAATTTAATTTTAATAAATATATAAATTAAATATTTTTTATTTTATTAAAAGAAAAAAGTAAAAGGACTAAAATACACTTGACTTAACGGGGCTAACGCTAATGGCGTTAAATAAAGAGACCTAATCCATAACAAAAGTGAAACCACAATGACCATACATGTAATTAGTTCGTTTGGGGGACCTGATCTAAATTCTCAACAAACCACAGGGACTAAATTTGTAATTCACTCGTTTTAAATGGATTAATCGTAAGATTAAGTTTCCAAAAATCTCAAATATTCTATTTAGGTGAGCATGCATCGGGTCGGATCAGATCGGGGCAAAACATTACAAAACCCAATCGGGTTTTGGGTAAGACTTATACCCACATGGTGGATTGTTAGTTTGCAGAAATGAAATGGATTTGAGAGAATTTGGATTTCAAATCCATTTTAATCTCACATTTGGTTTGTTGGATTGTCCGAATTTAAAACCATAAGGGTGCGTTTGGTTTGCGGGAATGTTTTTGAGGGATTTGGATTCCCTTGAGGGATTTGGATTCCATGGGATTTGGATTGGATTGGATTTGAAATCCATTCCTCTGTTTGGTTTGTAGGATTTGGTTTCTAATACTTCGAATAATTTTTTTAACCTAATCTGTGTTCATGAGATTTCAACCTAAT